TGCCAATCAAAGATACATTTGGTAATACTTTGTGAGGTTGTGATGATGATCATGATATCGATAATTCAGCACTGTTTATATGTATCAGATCCAGATCGGTATCGGCTGATACTGGGTCAACCGATATCGGTATCGGATAGGAAGTGAAGAAAAAAAAAAAAGTGGATGGTGCATCCCTAGTTGTGAAGGTTTTCAAAGTGTTACTAAAACTTTCTACAACCAAGCAATGTATCAGCACGAAGGTTTGGAAATTAATATTAAGTTTTAAATAATGAAAGCTGAATGTTGTTTTATATAATGAAAGCTGAATGTTTTTAACTTGCATTTAATAATCATGTGTTCTCATTACGATGCAGTTCATGTCAGTGACTATTTTTGTGTACAAGGGTTAAAAATGATGCATCATGTGCAAAGTTAAAGGTAATAAATAAAAAAAGTTTGTATACTTTTTTAAACGAGAGAATATCCGGCTGCACATTTTGGCGGTTGTTAAAATTAAGCTCTGTTGTGGTGAAACCTCGTCTGCACAGTCTTAATAGTTGTCGCGTTTCCTCATTAAAACCACATTAAGACTAAAGTGTTATTCATCATTTAGGCAGTTTTATATCAATTTCTGATTTTATATTGATTAAAGACCAAAAAACAACTCAAAGAAATACAAAAAGCTGCTGTACCATTATTGAATGTTGCACCTGTTTTTAATTCACCATTAAGGCTCATCATCAGACTCAATAAATTACAACACATGCAAAAAGACGAGGAATAAAAACGTCACATGTACTTTTGAAAATAAACACAGGACATGACTGCGTTATGATTATTGCGATTCAAATCTGTTAAAGGGATCAGATTAACGGCAGCTCTTGAATGACGACACCCTGCTCGGTGGATCCCAGAGGTAACAAAAAGATGAATAAAGAAAATGTTTTTACTGAGTTTTGAAACACTTATGCAGCAATTTAACAAGAATAAATACTGCCAATTTAGACAATCTTAAATTACAGACACTTTGGTTCGTCTTAATGTAATAAAAGCTAAACTAGATTTTGAAAACAGATCAGCTTTTTAAAGTAGATATATGCTTTCAGTATTCACTTCTCTTTTTTAAGAGTCAAGTTTAACTTTAGATTGTATAAGAATTCAGCATACAGAGGTCTTTATGTTAAAGTAATGCACAAAATTAATAAAATAATTGTACACTCATCATGCCCATATCACCCAGCGCCCCCAGTGAAAGACGTGCACAAACAAAACAAAAACAGATATATCCAACATGAAAATATAAAACAGAATATCACACTTGTCCAGAACTTTCCAGGAGTTGTGAACAGAGCTGGTTGAGTATGAAGAACTATTATTTAACTAACAGAAAGCCCCGTTTAGCTTTAATTAAGTTTTTAAACATGCAGTCATCACAAACACACATTTAATATAAAATTATATTGACACAGGCTG